TTACACCAGGAGAGGTGAGGCAGGCTTCCCAAAATGTCATGCCACCAAATGTGCTTTGCTCTGTACTGGAATGTTGAAAAACCCACAACCAAACAGTCCAAAAAGATAATGTTTGGTTATTACAGAGAAGTGCCAGGAGTCAGAAATAATACAACAAGCATATGAGAAATTAAACTCTTAAATAGCGTCAAACTGTATCCTCTGTGAGGTCTCTCTCTGCAGTTTTGACTGAATCTTTGTACTTCCAAAACATGACAACTTATTCTTGAAGAGCAAAATTGAGTATCTGAGAGAAAATACAAAAATACTTTGAATCACCAGTTTCGTTAACAGCACTGACCTAACTTCGTTGTATTATGGCATTAGGAAAAACTATTCATACTCAAATAGTAACTAAAAGTGTGTTTGCAGAGGAAAATAAATGCAAAATTTACAGTACTGATTTCTTTTATGCTTTCTTTAGAAAGCGTTCGTAAAGTTGAATAGTCCTTACTGAATAAGAATACAGAAACAGTATTGGATGAGGACCTGCAGACGATTGCAGTTACATGTGCTGCTCTGCATCCCACTTGTTCATGTTACTTACAAATTTGCCTGTTAGTCTTCAAGCAAGAAAAGGAAAACAAAAACAAAGGAAAGAAATGGTGATTTGTGAAATATGTCACTATTCCATCATATCCACCACCATCAGAAATAATGCCTATTTGCACACATAAATCTGCCTAAAGCACTTGTAACTTTTCCTTTCTGAAAAAGGTAATACATTATTGCAGTAATACATATTACACGTGAATATTTATCAAAGGGAAATGATAGTATACCCATATTTAATTTTTAATCTGAGGTCTTGGATATTGCTAATTTTCCTGGCAGCATTAAGAGGAATAATTTTGTAATTCAGAACTGTAATGAACTGCAAATGAACTGCAAGTAAATAGAACTGAACTATCTTTTGCAAAGATGTGAGGAAGAATTGAGGGCATGCAGGCTGCATGTGGAACTACAGAAAGTCATCACATTCCATATGTGTCAGACCTCCCTGCCTTGAGTTCTGCCGCCTGAGTTCACACCCTCTGAGGACAGAACTGCCTCTGCCTGCAGCCCTGGGATGTGACTGAGCTGCAGTCTCAGAAGTGTTGTTTTGTTTCACATTGCTTGCTCTACTGAGAAAGGTTTGGGCATTAGCAGCTGGAAGGAAAAAAAGTTTTGAAAACTGAAACCAACTGTAGCCTGCAGCAAGAATGCTGGCCTCCATCTGCAGGGATTTGACAAGAGGCAGGAGTGCAGCAGAGAGGAGCATGGGCAGTTCCCCCAGCTGTTGGCAGATTCTCTTTTGCTCCCAGCAGAAGCACTGGGAGATGTCCTGTGTGTGTCTGCAGCACTCTGTGCCTGAAGGGTGTCCCCATGCCCTTCTCCAAGCCTGCTGCACTCAGGCTCACAACATGAAGCAACGTTGAGGACACAAGCTGGATTCCTCTTGAATGAAACAGAGCCAGAAAATGTTCTCCAGAATCATACCTCAAGCATTCTGGCTGTAAATTGGTGTTCAGATAGAAACCACTAAAGAGTCAACCACAGAATGATCTGTGTTTGAAGGGACCTTAAGGGCCATCTGGTTCCAAGACCCTGTTGCAGGCAGGATTGTCATGACTAGCTGAGGCCGCCCAGGGCCCCATCCTAGAACACCTCCAAGGATGGGACATCCACAGCTTCTCCAGGCAGCCTGTGCCATGCTTCACCACCCTCTTAATAAAGAATTTCCTTCTGAAATCTGATACTTCAAGCAGCCCAGTCCTGAGCACCAGTGGGCTGTGCAGAGGCCTAGGAAGTTTTATACCCCAAAGAACCTGCGTTGCACAGACACAGACAGGCCCCCTTCACTATCTTTTTAGCCAGTCCAATGCTTAGAACAAACTAAATTGCTACTGAAATGCATATACAGGGTAAACATCAGGCCCTCAGCACCACAGGTTTTGCTCTACAGACTGGCTCCTATATTTGCTGATGGGAGCTCAACCTGCGATGCCATCAGCACCCCGAGCTGGCAGGTGCCAATTCCTTCTCTGTCCCCAGCTTCTCCACGGCCAGAAAACAAGCAGAACAGAGAGAGGGAACTGAGCTCTGCAGATCAGAGCAACCCAGACAGAGACAAATCAAGCAAATGGGATAAACCAGGATCACATGAAATAGACACTTACCACACGGCTCAAACAAATTCTCAGTCAATTTTAAAGGAAAAATACCTTGACAAAAATAGCAATAATTAAAAATAAACAAACAAACGAATAAATATATATAGGGGAGATTTAGGACTTGAGCCATACACCAGAAGACAGTGGTGACTGTGGCTCTGCTGGGCCCATTCCAGCTTCTCGTAGGAGTGTTCATGCAGGGCTGCCCCAAACCTGGTGATGAAAATGGAATTCTCATTTTATTCTTCAAGGCCTCCATTTTCACATCAAATAAAAAAATAATAATAAAAAAAATCTTCTGGCGGCAGAAGAGGTTTCAAGTTATCCTCCAGCAATCTATTCTGGCATCTAACTTGTGCCTTGGATCATCTGCTGCTCTCACAAGGAGCTGGGGTCTGAAGGTCCTACATGGCTGGCTCTCCGACATAGACACTACTGTGCATGCATTTTTGATGCAAGAGTTGGCAATTTGAGTAGAGCCCTTTGAAATTAATAAACCAGCAGAAAATTTCTGCTTGCATTTGCTGAAACAGCAGCTGTATGGACCTTCTACATCAGTCATTTGTTCACCAAAAAGCCTCTCAGTGGTAAAAGGAACAGCAACCTTGAAAATTACTGTAGCACCGGTCAGAGCATTGTTTGTTTTGGTGGTTGGTGCATCAAAGCCAATTCAAAGAAAACCACTTCTGGGGAACCCTTCCGGGTGTCTTGCAGCAAGGCAGGCAGGCAGCATCATTACTCAGTGCTGGAAAAGCTGCAGCTACAACTGAGTTTTGATCACACTTAATTCACCTGTCCATGTCTTCTTCACCACAATGGATCGTAGAATCAGTGAATCACCAATGTGAAAAACCAACAATGCTTAACAACTCTGCACATGGAGATCTGTAGGGCTGCTTGTTACCCTGGCAGCTCTGTCTGCTCAGCTGAGTTGGTTCCAGTTGGTGCAAAGGTGGCATGGGACAGGGGGCATTGCTTTCTGCCAGCTGGATACAGCTGCTGGCTGAACTGGCCAAGACGGAGCCCACCCTGTGCGCCTTCCCATGTGCACATCCACCCCGAGAATGGAAGTCCTCCTTCTCTGTGTACCCCATTCCACCACAACGAGGAAAGAAAACCATTTTGGCACCTGAAATGCTTCTGCTCCTGCAGCCTGGGCACTGCAGTCACAGCTCTGCAAAGGGTCATGTCCGCAACAGAAGGACTTTCCCCAAAGCAGGGGGAAAACAGGGAAATTCAGCAAGAGAGGAAAAAGAAGTCGTTTTCTAACTCTTGATGCAACTAAGCATGGTGTGTGCCAAAACACGAGGGGGCACTCAGCAATTAAAATGATTTTGCAGAGGGAAAGGAGAGAGGGAAAACCTTCCTCTCAATGCTGCAAGGCCCTGAGGAGATGAGAAAATCAGACAAAACTGCAAAACGGAGAATGCCTTTTCAGGGGCGTTCCCCTAAAGGGAATGGGGAGACATAGGGCAGATGCAATGGGACAGGACTTAACTGGATGCAGTTTAGAAACAAATCACCCCAGCTCTTGCTTGGGCTGTTGCCCTTTGTTGCTGGGAATCCTGGGGATCCCAAACCTCCCAGCTGCTGGCTTTCCACCGTACATCCTCCCTTGGAGCCAAGCACGCCTTTCCCAGCAGCAAGCAGCAGGCTGGAGTCAGCACCAAAACCAAAACCTCCTTGCACCTTGCCCTGTCCTTCCTCCACACGTTGTCTCTTAGTTTCAGAAAATAGGGCGAGACCCCAGTGAAATGAAAGCTCTGGGACAAAACGGCTGCTTTATTCTCCTCCTCCCCTTTCCTTGTCTACACCCCGCAGAAAGGCCATTTGCCAAGCAAGGGACGCAATTACCAGGTGTATGAGGGGCAGAGCAAACCAAGCTCAATTTCAAAGGCTTGTTTCTTTCACATTACTTCCCTGAGGTCCGATACCATCATAGAGTCATAGAATCATATAAAGGCCTGGGTTGATCCTTTTCAACCCAGTGATCATCTAGTTTCAACCCCCCTGCTACATATAGGGTCACCAACCAGGCTACCACCAGTCCAGGCTGCCCAGAGCCACATCCAGCCTGGCCTTGAATGCTTCTGGGGACGGGGCATCCACAACCGTCTTGGGCAACCTGTTCCACCGTTTCACCACCCTCTGTGTGAAAAAACTTCCTCCTAATATCTAGCCTAATCCACCCCTGTCTCCAGTTAAAACCACTCCGCCAAGTCCTATCACTATCCACCCTCGTAAAGAGCCGTTTATCCAAGAAAGAGAACAGCACAGGATTTTTTGTTTGTTTGTTTGTTGGTTGGTTTTATTGTGGGTGTTTAATTGGTTGTTTTTGGTTTTGCTTTTGCTTTTGCTTTTGCTTTTGCTTTTGTAGGAGCTCACCCACGTCCTGCACACCTCCACTTGAACCTCAAGTGGAGCAGGGGGTAGTCTTGCAGATGGAGCAGTGCAGGAAGTCTGACAAGATCTTGAGGTGCATCCAGTTCATCATCTGAGACGGAGGAAGCTCGCTTTCTGGGTCCTCATCAGGACCCTCAGAAGGACTGTAGCTATGGCGAGCTAAGAATCTTCAAATTATTGGTGATACTTGTCCTGGAGAGTGCGGGATGAAGGACAAAAGCTCTGCTGCTGATTCCCCGCTCTCACGTTCAGGGCCGTCCGCTGACAGAAAGCAGCACTCAGGACTGTTCCCGTGGACCTCTTTCACGGCTCTGAGTTCACGCTCCAGGCCTTCCAGGTGACTTTGAAGACCTTTGGCCTCTTGGATGGCAGAACGGAATGGACCGGAACTATTGCTGAGATTCCTGTTTGATGGGGCAAGAGTCTCTTCTGTTGCCTCTCCCAGCTCCATTCTGCCCTCGTCTCCAGTTGGAACTCTCTCCTAGTTGGTATCAGGATGAGCCGGTTCTGCTGCTCTCTCTTCTCTCTTGCACACTCTGTGAGAAGGAGTTTCAGAAAGCACTACTCACTGACAGGAAATAAGGGGAAACTTGAAAGACTTGGCAACTTGGTAAGTCCTGGCAGTGCACTGCCAGCAGCTGATTTGGCCGTCCAGGATCCTGGCACTACAGATGCTTCATTGCCAAATGCAGCAATCGGGTGTTTTGGGGAAAAGCCTACTCACAAGTATGTTTTGCACATCCATATCACAGCACCACAGGCCAGCACCGCAGCAGGGAACATTACCACGGCTGCGATGTAGCGCTTCCGCGCAGATTGGTGAACAGCAGCCTCTGTGCTTTTCCCGGCATTCATCCCTGGAAGAAACGAGACAATGTCCCACGGACCCTTCACCTGCTACAGATGATCTCCCAGTGTGCTCCATGGACCCAAGAGATTTTCATTAGCGGGTGCCTCTGTCTCTGTGCCTAAGCACCGGGGGACAAGAAGGATTGCTTCCACCTCTCGCTGGGGACGGAGAGGCTGCACAGGCACTACCCGTGTCTTCCTCTGGGCCGAGGGCTGGGGCTGTGCCCTGGGATCTGGGCTTTGTCTGTGGGGAGCACTGCAGAGCAGAACCCCTCACGCTTTCCCCAGCGCGCGTGTCCTGAGCTCTCCCGCAGGACACCCCCAGGCTGGAGGTCGGGCTCCAGCCAGCGCAGGGCACAGCCGGAGCCAGCCCGGGGGAGAAACACCCCTGCAGGCTCCTACCGCACAGGACCCCGCTCATCGCCCTCGGGTGGCTTTGTTGCAAAAGGGCAAGGCTCACAACTCGGGGAACTGCGAGTGGTGGGAGCTGAGCAGCGTCACAGAGGTCTGCACGTCCCTCCTCTGGCACGCCGCTGGAACAACTCTCCACACCCCACTGAGGTCAGCCACTTTCACAGGGCCATCCCTGCCTTCTTTGACACGTGCTCTGTGCCCACACGCTCAGGTTTGGCTGCTGACCTGGTGTGCAAGGTTGCTGGCGCGGTTAGTGATGCTGGATGAAGTTACGCGGCACAGAAATTACCTGGCGTGCCAGCTGTTGGCGCTGCCTGCGTTCCGCTGTCCGAGACCGGCAGGGTGGGATGGCTGCCTTCCTGCAGTGCATCCTGCTCAGTTTCTTGGTCAATTCCTTTAGAAAGAAAGCAGGACAGTAGGATTGGATGCGATGTGCTCTCATCGGGAACTGAGCTACTCCAACCCTGAGCCCGCCCAAAGCCTGCTGCTCCCAGCCCCCCACATCCACTGCCACCCCCTCCGTTGCCCAAGGGCACTTGGGCCCTCCCAGGAACTGGAGGGTGCCGACCCTCTCATGCCTCCTCAGGAATCAGCTCCTATGCAAGGCCCTCACACCACGTGCTGCGAGCGTCACCAACCACCACAGCCAGCTATCTGCAGGCTGAAATTAAAGCTCCAGCACAAGCACCTTCAGAATCAGCATCTCCAGCTCGTTTCCAGCACTGCTAGCACAGGCAGCCATCCCTGCTCGGGATGCTCCTCCTGCCTTGCACTGGCTCAGCTGCACAGAGGGCTTTGTACGAACAGAAGCACAGCACTCGCCAGTTGCTGCCGCCTGGGTGCCAGCGTCTGCACAAAGCAGCTCTGACAAGTAATGGTCCTGCTGGGGGAGCAGCTGCCGCTGGGTCTTGGCTGGATGCAGAAGTGGCAGCAGACCATCCCTGGTGCTTGACAGTGTCTGCAAGGCGTTACATGGAACACCGCCACAGCACGGCCCTGAGCAATCCCTTCCTGCTACGGATCCAGGCTACGGCCTGTCCACACATGAACATCAGACCTCAGCTTCCCAGGTTTCACGGTGAACAGACTGAAGTGTACCTACCACGCGGTGCCTTCTCTATTTCCTTCAGCAGTTCCTTTAGGAGACGGGGTAAGCCCTGGGACTTTCTTCCTCTTTCGGGTTCATCCTCTGCTCTTTCCGGACCTGTACAGAACGTATGAAGTCAAATATCAGGTGCATGCAGTTTTGGAGACCAGCGGTGAGTCAGCAGAGTCAGTAAAGACAAACTACTCAGCGCTGGCATTCCAGCTGGGCTGCAGCGCAGGAGGAAACGAACGACCGGGCAAAAGACATCCATGGGGGCGCTTCTGCCACCAAAGACCCAGGAAAGGTTTCACTCACACACTGCAGCATCACTGAAGAGCAGAGCATACGGGGGGAAAAATCGTGCCAAGAAATGGCACTGAAATGGGCGAGGAAAGCTCTCGCAGGAATTACAAAGCCGTGACTTACCCATGCCATCCGCCAGAGTTTCGGTCCCAGAGCTCAGAGCGGATCCTGGATCACCTGCTCCAGTCCCATCTGCAAACAAACGCACGACACAGCAACTCCCATTAAACATCCTTCCAGGCAGAATGACACAGGATGCAATTAAAGCCAGGGATTCCTTCACGACTCTGTTCTCTCCCTTCCACACAGGAGCACCTCGGAAACAGGTCCTGGGTGCCTTGCAGGGGCACCACCGCCATTCATAACTAACCCCGTGTGCAACCGCCCAGAGGAACACCCTCCTGGAGCTCAGCCCACCTCTAAACTCAACTGCATGAACTGGACTAAACCTAGGCTTTGGTAAGCCACTGCCTGGAGACACAGCTGTAAGCAAGGACAGAGGAGAAACGTTGCCATTGCAAGTGCCCATCTCCCTCTTCCTTAGCGAGCTGCAGTGAAGGAAGGGGCTCAGCTAATGGCACGGGGGGAAAGTTCCAAAGCTGCAGAGCAGCCAGGTGACCTGCTGGCTGGTACTCCACAGCTTTCCAAATACTTTCTCCAGGCCACGGGAAACAATGCTCAGGGACCTCATGGAAGAACACTCAGCCCCTTGAAATTTTCTTGCTGAGAGACCTCGGAGATACAGGGACGAAGGCAACACCACCCTGACAGCACGGAGCACCCAAGAAGCAACGGCCATCCACGCTTCTCGGGGAGAAGAACCCGCTGGCCGCTGAAAAGCGGAACCCTTGCTGAACTATCCCAGCCAAATATGATCCAATACCGAGGAAATGAAGCCTGCTGACTTACCTCCAGCATCCCCTTCAGGCTCGTAGACAGGATACTCTCCTGTGGATTCACCAGCACGGCCTGCAGGCACAAGTGTGATCAGACAGACACAGGTGAGGAGAGCTTCCAGCACGTGTGGGGCCTCCTTTTCCCTGAGTGACCTGTAGGCTCTGGCGGTGGGCCAGGGAATGCCACGGCCCAAATACAAAGGTCTGGGCTCTCTCAGCTGAAGAGGGGCAGCGGTAACCTTCCCACTGAAATGTGGCAGCTCTCCGAGTAAAGAAATACTCATGGCTCGACTGTGCATGCCCCTCAAGGCTCAAACCGACTCGGAAGATCTTGAGGGGATCTGAAGTCAAATTGCACCCAAGTAAACTGGGAGAGCATGAACGTTTCTGCCTCCAAGGAAACAGACACTCACAACTTACCTCTGGGTTGTTCCACAGGCACAGGCACAAAATCGAAACCCAAACGATCATTTGCAAAGGGAGCACCAAGGGCATCACCTAGAATCAAGAACAGATGGGAGAAATTCCCATTGCATGGCGTGATCTCCTTCTCCCTCGGTCACTGGATGCGGGGCGTGCAACGGGATGGCAGAAGGACTCAGGTCACGATTTCCAAAGTTGCGGAGTGGCCAGGATGATGTGTAGGCTGGCACCTGGCAGCGTACACAGTGCTCTCCCCAAGCCGTGTGCCACATCCCTCAGGGACCGCGTGGAAGAAGATGCAGCCCCCCGGGGCTTTCTTACTGGGAGGCCTCTAACGGACAGGAAGGTCACCCTGAAGCACTGGAGGAAGGCACGCCTGTCTCTTCCTCTGGGCCGTGGGCCGGGGCTCTGTGTTGGAAGCTGGCATTCACCTATGGTACCACGAGTACCACGAGCCTGGAGCAGAAATGCTCACGCTTTTCCCAGCTCTCCCCAGGACGTCTCCCAGGATGAAGGCTGTGCTCCAGCCAGCAAGCAGCAGAGCCATGGCCCGGCGTGGCTGGAGCCGGCTCTGGGGAGCAGCGCTGCCACGGGCTCCGGCCCGGCTCCTGCTGCGCTGGCCCTCACCCCCTGCCCGACAGCACCCCCGTGGAAGGCAGGCCCCAGGGAAGCGTGGCACAGGGCCGTGGGGACACAGCCTGACTTCTTGCCGCCAGTGCAGCTCGGTTTGGGTCCCATCTCTGCCCACCCACCTGCTCCCGGTGCTCGCCACGGAGCAGCACAAGTCTCCCGGAAACACATGGCCATCAGTAGGAGGAAGAGGACAAGGCGGGCAGGGGCCATGGCCCCCCACACTCGCACCATGCTTCCAACACCACCGCTGCAGCCACAGTGAGTGTCGCACAGAGCGAAGCCTGCGGCACGGCACAGCACAGCACAGTCATAGGACGGGGCATTGTGACCTCATACGCCAGCTCCGAGATTCCGGGCGGCGGCTCCCCGCGGGCTGCTGCTCTTGTGATGCACTGCACCAGGGCTGCGTGGGGCCGGTGCTTACATCACAGAAACGCAGAGCCATAGAATGGCTTGGGTTGGAAGGGACAGCAAAGAGCTTAGAACCCCAGCCCCGCCGCCGTGGGCAGGGATGCCACCCGCGGGGTCATGCTGCCCAGAGCCCCATCCAGACTGACCCTGAACACCTCCGGGGATGGAGCACGCACGGCTTCACCTGGCAGACTTTCATAGTGCTTCAACTACCCCAAGAGGGAATTATTTCCTGCTCCATGCTCCCATGATGCCTCCGGCCATTGAGGAAGGGATGCAATATGGAAATGGGGTCTGGATCGAGGGTGCTGCTGCACAGGTTGTCCATGCGTGTGAAACGTGCTGCAATTAAGCAAGCCGAGCAGATAAAGCCTCTCCGGTATGGAGGATGACGGCTGAAACACAAACACGGGGAAGCTGACCTTCCCACTGTGGAAAGTGAAAGTGTTGTTTCTGCCCTGAACATTGAAAAGGGCAATTGATCTAAAGAATTAAGCTGCAACATACCCTTAGAAATAGCTGATGTGGAAAGTAAGAATACCATATACATATTAGTAACGTGTTTTAGAAACATAGTTACCAAATTACCTAACAAACACTTTCTCACGAAGCTGCAATAGATTTTGAATGTTCTAAACAATATGGGTACAGTATTGTGAACTAGGAAACAGATTGTGAGGTTGTTCATTAGACCGGCAGAAGCAAAACACATTGAACAAACTTTCAAGGAGTCAGGGCCTTTCTACAAAGCAGAACTGTCCCACTTTGTGGGAATGTTAGGATGCCATAGGCAGGCTCCAAGGTACTCCCCTCCATCCTCCTTCCGAGCTTATCTTTCTGCAAGGACAGGTGAATGACCAGAACAATGACCAGTGTGAAGGGGCACAAATGTTAATTAAACGATTGAGGCTATTTCTATGTTTATGCTGTAAACCTGACATCCGAAAAGTTACGACCAAATTTGTTTGTTAAGAAAGCAATTGTTAGAAGTCAATTAAGCAATGAAGACATTTGCATCTGGGCGGCAAAGATTTGTGTCTACTCGGTGTTTGTATGATCAGTGAAACGTCACGAAAGAGTGTGAACCTGCAGTACTCAGCCAATGAGGAACCAGGGGAGAAAGAGATCAGCGACGGGCAATAGGGGATAAAAGATGTAACACTGCTTTCTCGGGGCTCTCCTGCTTGCAGGAGGCCCGCCATTGCAATTGCGAATAAAATCTGCTTTATCAGAGAAACCGTCCTAGAAAATTATTTGGATATTTCCAGCACCACAAACCTGCCACGTCAAGTGTCACCTGCTCACGTTTTGTTGAGGGATCTGCAGTTTCATCTGTTTTCCTTCAGTTTTCCAGTACCTTGGCTAAGGACATCCCCTTTCCTGCACCAAGTGCATTTCCCACGCAGCGTAGCGTGCTTCCAAGCCTTCGAATCTAGTCGCAGAAACTGAAGGCTTGCTGGCTGCCACCTCCCATCCCCAAAGTCCCAGTGAACTCACCCACTGCTGGCAACTGGACGCTTGGTGGCGAGAGGACCGTCACCTATCGGTCAGCTCCCACCTGGCACTCCAGAAACTGCAGCAATGAATACAGCGTCCAGGAAGATTAAAGAAGCAAAACAGTTCTCTGCCCCTGCTCCTGCCTCCACCTGTCCTCAGCGTGCAGCCAGAAGAGGTGCGGCACTCAGGAGCACGATGGGAGCCCTTCGTATCTCCTCAGCTCCTGCCCTTCCAGCTCTGCAGAGACGTTTCATATCCCAGTGACATCTGCGGCCCCCCCCCCGCCGCCCCTCTCTCCCCCCACGCACACAGATGGGCCCGCTGGGCACCGGCACTGCCGTCCCAGCCAACAGCGGATTCGTCGCCCTGCCCGCAATAAGTCTGTCAGCACCGCGTGTTCATTTGGAGAGCGCCGGCCCGGGCGCTCGGTGGTTCCATAGCAGGAAGAAATGGTTCCCGAGGAGGGCCGTGGCACGCGCTGCCCCGAGGAGCGGCGCACACTGACGCGTGGGATCAGACTCTATGACCGCAAGGCAGTTGTAAAAGCAGGTACGTTTCATCAGGGCTGCGACGCCGGGTGCAAGGGGGGGACCTGCTCCTAACTCGCACAGCGGCAGGAAAAAGCTGCAGACGGAGGCCGAACTGATACAGAATCAGTAGTTTCCAGGATGCGGATACGCATTCATTGCATTCCGAGAACCCACCAGCACGCGGTCCCCCTCCCCCCCTCGCGCGTGCACAGTGAGTGGTGAGGGTCTCCTCCCGGTGGTCGTGGGACGAAGAATCCCTATCTTCACGTTATCCGCACGCCCTGCCCCCCGACCCTTCTTCCGGGAGAGCTCCGTCCGCCCCTTCGTCTCTGCGGAGCCAATTGGCTGGCCTGGCTGTCACTTAAAGCGCGGGCGGAGGGGCGAGCGGACGAACGGGGTTGCGCGGGGTGCCCGCTCCGCGCGTGCCCGAGTCCGGGTAACGAGCGCGCGGAGGCGTGACGTCACGTCCGCCGGGGAGCCGGCGGTACGGGGCTGAGTAGAAACGGGGGTCCTCGCGGGGTTGGGCGGTGGGTCTGGCGCGTTATTGGGGCGCCGGGGCCACGTAGGGCTGGGAAGGGAATCCGAGGCGTCCTCCTGGAGCTGCGGGTGCCGGGACGCGTTCTGGGGGCCCGTGGGGCTGGGAAGGGGGTGGAGAAGCGGGGGTCTCGCGAGGCCGGGGGGGCGCGGGCCTGTTATGCGGGTATTGCCCTGGGACTCGGGAGAAGGGGCGGCGGTCTCCGTGCCTGATGGGGCCTTTCTTCCCCCGACTTCCCCTCCGCCCTTTTGTTCCCCGCTCGCAGACCGTGGCCGCCCCTTTTTCCTCCACGCTGGTGCCGGGCGAGGCCTCGGAGAGCGACTCGGAGCCGGAGCCGGGGGGGAGCGCGGCCGGGCCCCCTTCAGCGGGGCTGAAGGTTCCGGGGGTGGCGTCGGAGACCGAGGAGGAGGAGGAGGAGGAAGAGGAGGAAGAGGACCGTGCGGCCCGAGTGCCGCTGCCAGGGGTGCCCCGGGGGCCCCTCATTGCTGCGGCAGCGGCTGGGGGCGGGAGAGGGGCGACTGCGGGGCGCGATGGCTGAGGCGCTGGGACGCGGTTTCAGTGGGGCTGCGCGGCTGCTGGAAGGCCTGGGGGGGCCCCTGGGCCGAGCCCGAGCTGGGGCAGCTGCCACCGCGCGCTGCCTGTGCCTGGTGCGCCGTGACCTGCGCGCCGTGGCTGCCACCGTGGCCACCGTCGCCGCCTGCTGCCCGACATCCGCGGGGAGCCGTGAGCGTGGGAACGCCAGTGGGTGGTGTTGGCAGCCGCGGGGAGCTCCTGGCGTCGTTGCAGTGTCGCTGTCGCTGACCTCCAGTGCTGTGTCCGACGGACTTGGGGGCTGTGGTTGTCACTGATGGCGTTCTTGCTGTTGCTGCGTTTCCAGTGCTGTGTCCCCTTGAGCTGCTGCTCCCATCAACAGCTCTGCCACTGATCGCTCAGTGTCTCAGCGGTGTCACCTGGCCTGTGGGGACCTTGGCCTCACAGGAACGTTGTCACCAAATGGAAGCTCCTGACAATTGCGTGGTCCGGAATCCTGTGGTTTTGCCCTGTTTAGGGGGTCTGAGGTTTGTGGCACCAAATAAAGCCCTTCGGGGGCACAGCTGCAGCAAGGACACAACTTTCACTAGGCGGGTGGCAGCGTGTTCACCCGTGGCACTGTTGTCCCAGTGGTCTGAGCAAGGTCCCTTTTGTTGCCCCTCGTGTCCCCACGGTGTTGTTTGTGTCCTGCCGTACGAATGTCTCCAGCACCTGGCCACTGTCCCCCGAGCTGTGGCTACATCCTGTCACCCTAAGTGCCTCTTGGCCATGTCCACAGCCCGCTGCTACCTCTGTGTGCCCCTCGGAGAACATTAGCCAGGGACATGGAGCAGCACGTGTGATACTCCACCACGGAGCCACATGGGTCCATCAGACTGCACCCTGCCTGGGCTACCATCCCCTATGGGACACCAGGGATACACCCTGGGTGCTGGTGGGCTTGTGGCACCAAAATGCCTGGGGCCTGGCGAGGGTCCTGGGGGCTCCCGGTGTCTCCAGGAGAGTCCCCAGTACCCCCGGGACTGACGTGAGGGGTGGTGGAAAACCAGGATGGAGGTTCCCTTTCCCCACTCCCGTGTGTTGCGGCAAAGGGGAGAGGTTTTGTGAAGGGCACGGTGGTATTGGATTCCTTTCATAAAGATTCTGGACCTCGGTTCCCTGCCCGTATCCAAATTCAAATGAAAAACAGTATTAAAAATTCCTCTTTTGAGGAAGAACCTCTGAGCACTTGTAACTGGCAGTGCTTTGGTATTCTAGATAACCCGTTCCACAAGGAGTGCTGGGTGATGCTGACTGATAGCATCAGTTGTGAGCATGCTCTACAGAAAGGTTCCCGCTGTGGGGGTGAGGAAACAGAATGTGGTGATTCAATACTGCGGGGTTATTATGGGGTTACTAGAGTCTAGGATTCTAGAGTCGGAGGATTGTATGAGGACGCTACGAGGTTACTAGCTCCTGTGAGCGTAAGTTCTGTTATTTCAGGTCCTGTGATTGTTTCCCAATTCCAGATTCTTTGACTCTGTGATGATTTTGGGCTTCAGATGTGTGGTGATTCCAGTTCCTCGCTAAGAGTATAGACTCCCAGATTTGTAGCTACGCGGGACGATGCATTTCCATATCCACCCCTGTGCGTAGCGTGTGGCACAGTTCTGAGTGCCTGACACAAACCCAAGCAAAATCAATTTCTGTTGGTTATTGAAAAAATGAATAAATTCTTTGCTTTAGTTTGTGCTCCCTGTTCCATTATTTACGTTCTGCCTTACTTCGTATGTAACAGGTAATACCTTTTTCCCCCTTTCATCCCTTGATGGCTCCGGATGGTCCCTTGTTTCTCAATTATAATGGGCTCTCAGTGCCATGAGCCCGCTCACGTAAGAATTTGGGAGTGGTGTTCGCTCCATGAATCTTACCATAGTTAGAGTCCCTAGTTGCTACCGTGCAGACTTCACCAATTTATAACAGGTCGATACAGCTACAATATACACTCCTAAGGGGAAGCAGGAATGTATTTATTGATGAGCATAGATGTGCTGTAGTAGGTATAACAGTGACTTCACAAGGCTGGAGATGGCTGGATGCCCTTGGTTGTTTTCCACGTAGAGGACAGGGTTACACACACACCTACAGGATGCTCTGCTGCTGTGTCATGAGGATCAGAGCCAACCCCACTGCTGTGTGAATTCTTCAAACCACAGAGGTAAGGTTCCTCAGCACAGCTGGATCCACTCCTAGTCCCATACGCGTTCAGGAGTTTGTGTCTAAGGGATCCTCCGTGCGTGGTCAAAGATATAACCCTAGTGAAGCTGACAAAGCTCAAGCCAAACTATTAGTCGCTTACTAAGGATCCGTATCAGCAAGGTGTCTTGACGTGGAGGTGGAAAGGATCTCTGCAGGTGTGACCTTGATAGGCATCCCTGCTCAAGGGCAGAGCTCGTCCTGCAGCCTGCTGCTGTGCAGGGGAGCTTAAGAGGTGCTTGTGCTGCTCTGTTTTGGTGGTAAGATGATTGACTCGTTGCTGTGCTTTGTGTTTAGGCACGTGCTCACTTGGCCCTCAGCTGTTGAGCCAGAGGTCTGCTGTCAGTTCTTTCAGCCTCCCAGTTTGAGACAGTTTTGTGATCGTTAATGTAATTTAGCCAGGAGTGTTGCTCACTGTCTTCCTGTGCCAGGCTGAGGGAGGAGGGTAGGAGAAAGGAGGAAAGAAAGGGAGAGGAGGGAGCGCACCATCACACTGGCTTTGCTGGGGAAGAAGCCTGGTGAGAGCAGTGCTGCTGGTCTGAGTCCCAGCTGGCTTTTACCCCTAGGCAATGCCCTGCAGGTGGGCTAGTGAGGGTGGAGGTTGGGCAGGGATTGCTGCATTCCCTCACACCTCTCACCTGCCCATTGTTTCTCTTGTCCCAGCAGGCTCCAGTTTAACATCTGCCTGCAGCAGAGCAGCAACTGGCCGCAGCATGTCCATCTCAGGCAGGGGCTTGGGGAAGCCGCCAGGAGTGGGCAAGCAGCAAGAGATGGGAGTGCAGGGTGAGAGTGAGGCGTCCTCAGCCAGCATTTGTGTGCTGGGAACAGAGAAGCCGCTGGGACAGGAGTTTCTCTCCTCTCCAAGCTGCTTCCCTGGGCTCTCAGGGAATGCTGGCTGTGCCCAGCAAGGAGCCTTTGCAGGAGCCCGTGGCCTTTGCAGAGGTGGCCGTGTACTTCAGCAGGGAGGAGTGGGCGCTGCTGGACCCTGCGCAGCAAGCGCTGCACCGGGATGTGATGCTGGGGACGTAGCAGCGCGTGGCCTCGCTGGGTGAAGGCTTTGCTGCTGCTCCTTCTTGTTAGGGCAGCTCTGGCTGTGCAGAATGAGCCTCTGCAAGCAGGGCGTAGAATAAATGCAGTGCAGTTACTTCTTGACCAAGGCAACAGCAACAGAAGAAACACAGAGAAGCGTGAGTTGCAGAATTAGTGTGCTCAGTCCCTTGAGAAAAGCCCCAGAGTCACTGCTGACACACAGGTGCCAGCCTGGAGGGGTTGGATCAGCTCCCTTGTGCTGCTGTTCTGCATGGTGCCACCAGCTCCAGCACCCAGACGTCACCCAGATCACTCCCTTGGAATTCTATGCTTTTCTGTTTGTTTCCCGTAAACCTTGTTGAGGCCTTGGTAAACAAAGCATCCTAAAGGGAGCGAAGAAAATGTCCCTGCATCATTTTCAGAGATGTAAAAGGGCTCCAAAGGAAGTCGGTATGTGTTGGGCCAGTGTCATTCAGAATTGAAACAGGGACACGCTGGCATGCACCGGAATGGGCTCGTGCTTGACATCTCATAGACAGGGTTGAAAAGAAACCTGAAACACACGCAGCCTCTGTAGACCCACCCCTTCAAAATCAGCACATTTTGCACAGCCAGAGGTGCCTCCCCAGTCCTCCGTCTGTTGGCAGTTTTACTTCATCTGTTTTTTCTTCAGATCACGGCAGAGTGAGTGTGCCTGCATCAGCAGAAGAGCTGCCTTCGTGGAGGTGCAGATGCAGCCGGCCGCTGTGGAATTCATCTTGACCACTCAGATGTGCTCTTCCGCTCCAAATCCAGCCCAGTCATTGGAGATGGAGCAGGTGAGTGTCTTCCTCCGTTAGCTTTACCTTGATCAGACACCTTGATCAAATCCAGATCTCCTCCAAGATACCTGAGACAGGCTTTGACTGTCAAGGAGACAACAGGCTCCTGGGCTGGTGTAAGAATATGGCAAACGTGGCTACCAGTATCTTTCTGGGAAGCCAGGGATGCTCTACGAGAACATACAGCTGAAAGTTTGGCTTCTGCTGTTAGGCCCTCACACTGACAAGCTGCACAGAGTAACTTAAATCTGTCCCCCTACTCTCCCTTTTCTTTCTAAAATCACTTTCTTCAGTGCTTCTGTGTGCTTTCCCACTTGAGCTGTCTTGCAGTAGGACACAGTGCATGATCTGTTGATCCTTACGAGCATCTTAGAAGACAAATGGCAATCAGCAGATCTAAAGAAAGCTCTTGGTGTTCATTAGCATTGATGCTGAGAAGCAGAAGTCTTGCTCTTAATGTGAGATATTCTGACAGCTGCTTTCCCGGTTGTTTCTTCTGCTCAGTCTCTATAGGTTAATCAGCAGGGCTGTCCAGCTGCACGGCTAAGACTGCACGGGCCCTGCAGCTGTTGCCCAGTTCTCTGCCTGCACGGCAGAGTTGTGGCTTTAGGATGAGCCACAGCTTAGGTGCGGAAATAGTGAGGAAATAACTGCAAGGTGTTTGTGCCCAGCCCTGGAACCTGCAGCTTTCCTTGAGTAGCTACTAAGACCATGAGTGCACCTGGTCCTAGCAGCTGGCACTGTGAGCTACTGTGGTAGAAGTTTAAAAGTTTGTCTCCAAAAACAAGCACAGGCTGTAAGCAGGCCAAGAGCAAGACACAGCCAGATTCAGTTCTCTGTGTCCACCTGCACGCTGGGTTGTAGCCGCTGCAGTCGTGTGCAGCGTTTCCTGTTGCTGGATGCTGAGAGCAAACCCAGACCTCGTCAGAAGAAAACTGTCACTATCATGACAATATTTGTGCTGTTCCTTTACAAGATGCAGTTCTTAATTGTGGCCCGAGTCCCTGTGGGTTTCTTCTCCTGCCACAAAGCAGCTACCCTGGAGGAGGCACAGGCACGGACACCAGGCCACAGCAGCTCTCCCGTTGTGTCAGACAGCAGAGACATTGAAGTGGAAGAAGGCCCCGCAGCTTTACAGGGGAAATTCCACACAGTCTTTGGCTTTCCATCCAAAAGATGAGGAGGAGTTTCTTTTGCAGCACCTATCATAATTGTTTGGGTGGTTTTTTTTCCATTATTACTAATGCAAAACTTGCTGAAAGTAAGTTACCTTAACCACGCATGAGGTGTTGTAGCAAACTTCCTCTTGCTTTGGACTCCTAGGACTCAACTCCCTTACAGCTGCCTGATGGGCTCAGTTTAGTCGCACAATGGCACCGTTCCTTCCCTGTTAGGCAGGTCATGAGGTATGTGAAGCCATCTGATGTCGATGCTTGCCAGTACTGCCTGCACCTGGAGACATCAGGGTTTTCCTGAATTCAGGACTACGTGCCTGAAATAAATTCTGGTTCTCCTCTATGCAGAGCTGTTGGACTGACTTCCTGTCTGCTAAGACTGGGAAGAGGCAGGGCTGCTGCAGCCCCAGCCCCACCTGGCATGAGTCTGTGTAGGGACGAGCTGCTGGCTTTGTTCTGGGCACTGCAGGGCTCTGTGGCCAAAAATCACCCCCAGGAGCTGTGCTACCGGCTGTGCCCACGCCTCGCTGGCGTATGTGGCTGAGAAGCCCCCGCACGTGGCCGGCTGGGAGCTGCTGCCCTTCTGACCAGCTCACTCCAAAACTGCTCTCTGCTTGGTGCACATGCTGGAAGCTATTACTCAACAAATAAGGCAAATAAAAGAAATAAACGCTAAACAGGGCTTATTGTCACAAGGTAGCCAGACAAGAGGAGTGAGAAAAAGCATGCTGTATTTTGATACAAATACATGAGACCTGTGCGGTGCCTGGTTCAGCAGTTCAGCTTGCCTTCGTGCACTTTGCCTGGTCATAGGGAAAGCAGCGGGGTCTGATTCAAAGGCGGAGTTGTTTGGATGCTGTATTTATTGCTGCACGTACAAAAAGTCCAGCACGTCCAAAAGAGCAGCAGTTTCTGGAGTGCCAGGTGGGAGCTGACCGATAGGTGACGGTCCTCTCGCCACCAAGCGTCCAGTTGCCAGCAGTGGGTGAGTTCACTGGGACTTTGGGGATGGGAGGTGGCAGCCAGCAAGCCTTCAGTTTCTGCGACTAAATTGGAAGGCTTGGAAGCACGCTACGCTGCGTGGGAAATGCACTTGGTGCAGGAAAGGGGATGTCCTTAGCCAAGGTACTGGAAAACTGAAGGAAAACAGATGAAACTGCAGATCCCTCAACAAAACGTGAGCAGGTGACACTTGACGTGGCAGGTTTGTGGTGCTGGAAATATCCAAATAATTTTCTAGGACGGTTTCTCTGATAAAGCAGATTTTATTCGCAATTGCAATGGCGGGCCTCCTGCAAGCAGGAGAGCCCCGAGAAAGCAGTGTTACATCTTTTATCCCCTATTGCCCGTCGCTGATCTCTTTCTCCCCTGGTTCCTCATTGGCTGAGTACTGCAGGTTCACACTCTTTCGTGACGTTTCACTGATCATACAAACACCGAGTAGACACAAATCTTTGCCGCCCAGATGCAAATGTCTTCATTGCTTAATTGACTTCTAACAATTGCTTTCTTAACAAACAAATTTGGTCGTAACTTTTCGGATGTCAGGTTTACAGCATAAACATAGAAATAGCCTCAATCGTTTAATTAACATTTGTGCCCCTTCACACTGGTCATTGTTCTGGTCATTCACCTGTCCTTGCAGAAAGATAAGCTCGGAAGGAGGATGGAGGGGAGTACCTTGGAGCCTGCCTATGGCATCCTAACATTCCCACAAAGTGGGACAGTTCTGCTTTGTAGAAAGGCCCTGACTCCTTGAAAGTTTGTTCAATGTGTTTTGCTTCTGCCGGTCTAATGAACAACCTCACAATCTGTTTCCTAGTTCACAATACTGTACCCATATTGTTTAGAACATTCAAAATCTATTGCAGCTTCGTGAGAAAGTGTTTGTTAGGTAATTTGGTAACTATGTTTCTAAAACACGTTACTAATATGTATATGGTATTCTTACTTTCCACATCAGCTATTTCTAAGGGTATGTTGCAGCTTAATTCTTTAGATCAATTGCCCTTTTCAATGTTCAGGGCAGAAACAACACTTTCACTTTCCACAGTGGGAAGGTCAGCTTCCCCGTGTTTGTGTTTCAGCCGTCATCCTCCATACCGGAGAGGCTTTATCTGCTCGGCTTGCTTAATTGCAGCACGTTTCACACGCATGGACAACCTGTGCAGCAGCACCCTCGATCCAGACCCCATTTCCATATTGCATCCCTTCCTCAATGGCCGGAGGCATCATGGGAGCATGGAGCAGGAAATAATTCCCTCTTGGGGTAGTTGAAGCACTATGAAAGTCTGCCAGGTGAAGCCGTGCGTGCTCCATCCCCGGAGGTGTTCAGGGTCAGTCTGGATGGGGCTCTGGGCAGCATGACCCCGCGGGTGGCATCCCTGCCCACGGCGGCGGGGCTGGGGTTCTAAGCTCTTTGCTGTCCCTTCCAACCCAAGCCATTCTATGGCTCTGCGTTTCTGTGATGTAAGCACCGGCCCCACGCAGCCCTGGTGCAGTGCATCACAAGAGCAGCAGCCCGCGGGGAGCCGCCGCCCGGAATCTCGGAGCTGGCGTATGAGGTCACAATGCCCCGTCCTATGACTGTGCTGTGCTGTGCCGTGCCGCAGGCTTCGCTCTGTGCGACACTCACTGTGGCTGCAGCGGTGGTGTTGGAAGCATGGTGCGAGTGTGGGGGGCCATGGCCCCTGCCCGCCTTGTCCTCTTCCTCCTACTGATGGCCATGTGTTTCCGGGAGACTTGTGCTGCTCCGTGGCGAGCACCGGGAGCAGGTGGGTGGGCAGAGATGGGACCCAAACCGAGCTGCACTGGCGGCAAGAAGTCAGGCTGTGTCCCCACGGCCCTGTGCCACGCTTCCCTGGGGCCTGCCTTCCACGGGGGTGCTGTCGGGCAGGGGGTGAGGGCCAGCGCAGCAGGAGCCGGGCCGGAGCCCGTGGCAGCGCTGCTCCCCAGAGCCGGCTCCAGCCACGCCGGGCCATGGCTCTGCTGCTTGCTGGCTGGAGCACAGCCTTCATCCTGGGAGACGTCCTGGGGAGAGCTGGGAAAAGCGTGAGCATTTCTGCTCCAGGCTCGTGGTACTCGTGGTACCATAGGTGAATGCCAGCTTCCAACACAGAGCCCCGGCCCACGGCCCAGAGGAAGAGACAGGCGTGCCTTCCTCCAGTGCTTCAGGGTGACCTTCCTGTCCGTTAGAGGCCTCCCAGTAAGAAAGCCCCGGGGGGCTGCATCTTCTTCCACGCGGTCCCTGAGGGATGTGGCACACGGCTTGGGGAGAGCACTGTGTACGCTGCCAGGTGCCAGCCTACACATCATCCTGGCCACTCCGCAACTTTGGAAATCGTGACCTGAGTCCTTCTGCCATCCCGTTGCACGCCCCGCATCCAGTGACCGAGGGAGAAGGAGATCACGCCATGCAATGGGAATTTCTCCCATCTGTTCTTGATTCTAGGTGATGCCCTTGGTGCTTCCTTTGCAAATGATCGTTTGGGTTTCGATTTTGTGCCTGTGCCTGTGGAACAACCCAGAGGTAAGTTGTGAGTGTCTGTTTCCTTGGAGGCAGAAACGTTCATGCTCTCCCAGTTTACTTGGGTGCAATTTGACTTCAGATCCCCTCAAGATCTTCCGAGTCGGTTTGAGCCTTGAGGGGCATGCACAGTCGAGCCATGAGTATTTCTTTACTCGGAGAGCTGCCACATTTCAGTGGGAAGGTTACCGCTGCCCCTCTTCAGCTGAGAGAGCCCAGACCTTTGTATTTGGGCCGTGGCATTCCCTGGCCCACCGCCAGAGCCTACAGGTCACTCAGGGAAAAGGAGGCCCCACACGTGCTGGAAGCTCTCCTCACCTGTGTCTGTCTGATCACACTTGTGCCTGCAGGCCGTGCTGGTGAATCCACAGGAGAGTATCCTGTCTACGAGCCTGAAGGGGATGCTGGAGGTAAGTCAGCAGGCTTCATTTCCTCGGTATTGGATCATATTTGGCTGGCATAGTTCAGCAAGGGATCCGCTTTTCAGCGGCCAGCGGGTTCTTCTCCCCGAGAAGCGTGGATGGCCGTTGCTTCTTGGGTGCTCCGTGCTGTCAGGGTGGTGTTGCCTTCGTCCCTGTATCTCCGAGGTCTCTCAGCAAGAAAATTTCAAGGGGCTGAGTGTTCTTCCATGAGGTCCCTGAGCATTGTTTCCCGTGGCCTGGAGAAAGTATTTGGAAAGCTGTGGAGTACCAGCCAGCAGGTCACCTGGCTGCTCTGCAGCTTTGGAACTTTCCCCCCGTGCCATTAGCTGAGCCCCTTCCTTCACTGCAGCTCGCTAAGGAAGAGGGAGATGGGCACTTGCAATGGCAACGTTTCTCCTCTGTCCTTGCTTACAGCTGTGTCTCCAGGCAGTGGCTTACCAAAGCCTAGGTTTAGTCCAGTTCATGCAGTTGAGTTTAGAGGTGGGCTGAGCTCCAGGAGGGTGTTCCTCTGGGCGGTTGCACACGGGGTTAGTTATGAATGGCGGTGGTGCCCCTGCAAGGCACCCAGGACCTGTTTCCGAGGTGCTCCTGTGTGGAAGGGAGAGAACAGAGTCGTGAAGGAATCCCTGGCTTTAATTGCATCCTGTGTCATTCTGCCTGGAAGGATGTTTAATGGGAGTTGCTGTGTCGTGCGTTTGTTTGCAGATGGGACTGGAGCAGGTGATCCAGGATCCGCTCTGAGCTCTGGGACCGAAACTCTGGCGGATGGCCTGGGTAAGTCACGGCTTTGTAATTCCTGCGAGAGCTTTCCTCGCCCATTTCAGTGCCATTTCTTGGCACGATTTTTCCCCCCGTATGCTCTGCTCTTCAGTGATGCTGCAGTGTGTGAGTGAAACCTTTCCTGGGTCTTTGGTGGCAGAAGCGCCCCCATGGATGTCTTTTGCCCGGTCGTTCGTTTCCTCCTGCGCTGCAGCCCAGCTGGAATGCCAGCGCTGAGTAGTTTGTCTTTACTGACTCTGCTGACTCACCGCTGGTCTCCAAAACTGCATGCACCTGATATTTGACTTCATACGTTCTGTACAGGTCCGGAAAGAGCAGAGGATGAACCCGAAAGAGGAAGAAAGTCCCAGGGCTTACCCCGTCTCCTAAAGGAACTGCTGAAGGAAATAGAGAAGGCACCGCGTGGTAGGTACACTTCAGTCTGTTCACCGTGAAACCTGGGAAGCTGAGGTCTGATGTTCATGTGTGGACAGGCCGTAGCCTGGATCCGTAGCAGGAAGGGATTGCTCAGGGCCGTGCTGTGGCGGTGTTCCATGTAACGCCTTGCAGACACTGTCAAGCACCAGGGATGGTCTGCTGCCACTTCTGCATCCAGCCAAGACCCAGCGGCAGCTGCTCCCCCAGCAGGACCATTACTTGTCAGAGCTGCTTTGTGCAGACGCTGGCACCCAGGCGGCAGCAACTGGCGAGTGCTGTGCTTCTGTTCGTACAAAGCCCTCTGTGCAGCTGAGCCAGTGCAAGGCAGGAGGAGCATCCCGAGCAGGGATGGCTGCCTGTGCTAGCAGTGCTGGAAACGAGCTGGAGATGCTGATTCTGAAGGTGCTTGTGCTGGAGCTTTAATTTCAGCCTGCAGATAGCTGGCTGTGGTGGTTGGTGACGCTCGCAGCACGTGGTGTGAGGGCCTTGCATAGGAGCTGATTCCTGAGGAGGCATGAGAGGGTCGGCACCCTCCAGTTCCTGGGAGGGCCCAAGTGCCCTTGGGCAACGGAGGGGGTGGCAGTGGATGTGGGGGGCTGGGAGCAGCAGGCTTTGGGCGGGCTCAGGGTTGGAGTAGCTCAGTTCCCGATGAGAGCACATCGCATCCAATCCTACTGTCCTGCTTTCTTTCTAAAGGAATTGACCAAGAAACTGAGCAGGATGCACTGCAGGAAGGCAGCCATCCCACCCTGCCGGTCTCGGACAGCGGAACGCAGGCAGCGCCAACAGCTGGCACGCCAGGTAATTTCTGTGCCGCGTAACTTCATCCAGCATCACTAACCGCGCCAGCAACCTTGCACACCAGGTCAGCAGCCAAACCTGAGCGTGTGGGCACAGAGCACGTGTCAAAGAAGGCAGGGATGGCCCTGTGAAAGTGGCTGACCTCAGTGGGGTGTGGAGAGTTGTTCCAGCGGCGTGCCAGAGGAGGGACGTGCAGACCTCTGTGACGCTGCTCAGCTCCCACCACTCGCAGTTCCCCGAGTTGTGAGCCTTGCCCTTTTGCAACAAAGCCACCCGAGGGCGATGAGCGGGGTCCTGTGCGGTAGGAGCCTGCAGGGGTGTTTCTCCCCCGGGCTGGCTCCGGCTGTGCCCTGCGCTGGCTGGAGCCCGACCTCCAGCCTGGGGGTGTCCTGCGGGAGAGCTCAGGACACGCGCGCTGGGGAAAGCGTGAGGGGTTCTGCTCTGCAGTGCTCCCCACAGACAAAGCCCAGATCCCAGGGCACAGCCCCAGCCCTCGGCCCAGAGGAAGACACGGGTAGTGCCTGTGCAGCCTCTCCGTCCCCAACGAGAGGTGGAAGCAATCCTTCTTGTCCCCCGGTGCTTAGGCACAGAGACAGAGGCACCCGCTAATGAAAATCTCTTGGGTCCATGGAGCACACTGGGAGATCATCTGTAGCAGGTGAAGGGTCCGTGGGACATTGCCTCGTTTCTTCCAGGGATGAATGCCGGGAAAAGCACAGAGGCTGCTGTTCACCAATCTGCGCGGAAGCGCTACATCGCAGCCGTGGTAATGTTCCCTGCTGCGGTGCTGGCCTGTGGTGCTGTGATATGGATGTGCAAAACATACTTGTGAGTAGGCTTTTCCCCAAAACACCCGATTGCTGCATTTGGCAATGAAGCATCTGTAGTGCCAGGATCCTGGACGGCCAAATCAGCTGCTGGCAGTGCACTGCCAGGACTTACCAAGTTGCCAAGTCTTTCAAGTTTCCCCTTATTTCCTGTCAGTGAGTAGTGCTTTCTGAAACTCCTTCTCACAGAGTGTGCAAGAGAGAAGAGAGAGCAGCAGAACCGGCTCATCCTGATACCAACTAGGAGAGAGTTCCAACTGGAGACGAGGGCAGAATGGAGCTGGGAGAGGCAACAGAAGAGACTCTTGCCCCATCAAACAGGAATCTCAGCAATAGTTTCGGTCCATTCCGTTCTGCCATCCAAGAGGCCAAAGGTCTTCAAAGTCACCTGGAAGGCCTGGAGCGTGAACTCAGAGCCGTGAAAGAGGTCCACGGGAACAGTCCTGAGTGCTGCTTTCTGTCAGCGGACGGCCCTGAACGTGAGAGCGGGGAATCAGCAGCAGAGCTTCTGTCCTTCATCCCGCACTCTCCAGGACAAGTATCACCAATAATTTGAAGATTCTTAGCTCGCCATAGCTACAGTCCTTCTGAGGGTCCTGATGAGGACCCAGA